ATAATGGAATTTGCATTCTGACTGTTTGAGAAACTTCAGTTCTAAGGTACCAACTTTGAAATCATGGTGTCCTTAATTCAGGAAGCTTTTATGACTTGATTCTTGATGTGTTTGAAAGTTCATATGACAAACTTCACTATGTGAAAAGAATGGAATCAAATGGATGCTTGAGCTGAAAGTTATGATGAGTCAAAGTTGAGATAAAGATGCTGACTTTTTATACGTAGAAAAATTCTAAGTTTTTCTTCAAAAATGACCTATAATGTGTTGCATCCAAACATGGCCTTCCATTTGAAATTTTCTCTTGACCAAAAACGATGGCATGAAGTAGATTCCTTGAATGACATTTTGAGATTTGAACCATTTAAAAACTCCAAAAATTGAGAAAGTTATGACTTTGTGAAGTTGGTGAAAATTCATGAGATGACCTATAATCTTTTGAGTTCTCAAGACATCTTCCATCACTTTTCAAGCCTTTCACATAAAATAATGGTTGAAGTTCATATCTTTAAGATCATTATGGAAAAATAATGGGCTCAAGGAGATAAAAATTGATCAAGTTATGATCTTTTGAAGTCACACAAGAGAATTTAATGGCCTATCTAGAGGACTTGTAATATTTCTCAATCATTAGGCATCTTCCACATAACATTTTCTTGAAACTTTTGAAGTGATTTGTTGATAACCCTTTAAAGAGAAGCATGTCTTTGGAATCACTCATAAATACAAAAATATAAGCAAGATATAGCCCTTAGAAGTTCAAAACCCTAGCTCCTAGAGCAACAAAATGCTTCGGAAACCCTTTTCAATTTTGATAAACTTTCATACACAAATAATTTTGTCATGTAAATAGAATTTGTTAAGGATGATAATGGGAAACCATAGCAACCATAACCACTTACAAATATTAAGAAATGAGGGAAAAATGCACTTGTGATCAAGAAATCATGAACTTGTCCAATTAGGTCAAATTTCTTCAATAAAAAATTGTATCCTTTGACTTTCTTTGACAAATTGAGGCATGATGAAACATGGTAGATCTTGTCATGATATAACTTCAAAGAATATTAAATGATGAGGCTTGAATCTCAATGAAGCTTTGCTGAAAAAGGCATGGAAGTAAACTCATGAACCTATAAATCAACTTGATAAAGTGTGTTGTACTTTCACCTATAATATAATAAATTAAGGAAAACATTCATTGTATTTATTATTTAAAAATTAATCAATACAAAACATAGATGACCACAATATACAAGTCGAGGTGCTTGGTGATTCCCCATGAGCAACGCTAAAGATAAGGAAAAAAACTAAACCATAATGTGATCTTGTTGTGATTGGTTGATATGAGATGATATAGGGATCTTAGGGGGAAAAATTGGGGTACAACACAACGTACTAGATAGCTATGACAACCCTATTACATGATCTAATGCATAAGGAAATTGAAGTATATGTTGATGATATGATCGACAAATCTTAGATTGAAGAAGGGCACATAAGAGACTTGTTGAAATTGTTTCAGCGTTTGAGAAAGTATTGTCTCCGTTTGAATATAAATAAGTGTAATTTTGGAGTTCGTTATGGAAAGTTGTTAGGTTTCATTGTCATCCAAAACGGAATTGAAGTTGATCTTGATAAAGTTAAGGCAATTCAGGAAATTCCCGCACTAAGAAATTGAAAAGCAAGTTAGAGGTTTCCTTGGATGTTTGAATTACCTTTCCATATTTATTCCCCATTTGACTGCAACATGTGAAGAAATATTCAAGCTGTTTAAGAAAGATAAAGGTTGTGTGTGGATGAATGATTGCCAAAGGGAATTTGAAAGCATTAAAGAGTATCTGCTTGAGCCTCATATATTGCTCCCTCCTGTTGAATGAAGACCATTGATTGTGTATCTGATTGTGTTAGATAACTCCATGGGGTGTATTTTGGGAAAACAAGAAGAAAAGAATATGTCAGTAATTATCTCAACAAGAAGTTCAGTGACTGTGAGTCACGGTATTCTATGCTAGAAAGAAACATGTTGTGTTTTGGCCTGGGCAGAAAAGCGATTGTAGAATTATATCTTGAATCACATTATTTGGTTGATTTCCAAAATGGATCTGATTAAGTATATTTTAAAAAGCCTTCTCTTACTGGAAGAATTGCCCACTGGAAGATGTTGTTGTTTGATTATGATATTGAATACCGTACTCAGAAGGCTATTAAAGATAATGTGTTGGCAGAGTACCTTGCTCACCAACCGGTTGACAATTATCAGGCTGTTAATTATAATTTCCCTGATGAGGATGTGATATTTTTGAAAGTAAAAGATTGTTCCCTTTTCCTGAGGAAGGTCCTGATCCTGAATCCCAGCGGGGTATGGTATTTGATGGAGCTGTGAATGCTTATGGAAAAGGAATTGGTGTTATGATTATTATTCCCCATGAGTCACATATCCCTTTCACTACAAGGATGAAATTTGATTGTACCAATAACATGGTGGAGTATGAAGCTTGTATCATGGGTCTTGAAGATGCTATAGATCTCAGAGTTAAAATTCTTGATGTATATGGTGATTCAACTTTGGTAATAAATCAGATCAAAGGAGAATGGGAGACTCGTCACATTATCTTGATTCCCTACAAATATTATGCAAGAAGATTGTTACCTTTCTTCAATAAAGTTGAATTCCATCACATTCCTAAAGATTATAATCAGATGGAAGATGCTTTAGCCACTTTGGCATCCATGTACCAAGTGAATGCTTGGAATGATGTACCTCAGATTATAGTTCGATGTCTTGACAGACCAGCTCATGTGTTATCTAGAGAGGGGACTTAAGATGAAAAACCTTGGTATTATGATATCAATCACTTTCTTCAGACTCAGGAATATTTGATTGGTGTGTCGAACAAAGATAGAAAGACATTGAGAAGGTTGGCAGGTAGGTTTTTCCTCAATGAAGATGTGTTATACAAGAGAAATCATGACATGGTCTTGTTTAGATGTGTGGATAGACACGGAGAGTATATGTTAATGCATGAGATCCATGAAGGTTCCTTTGGTACCCATGCCAATGGATATTCAATGGCAAAGAAGATGCTTAGGGCAGGATACTATTGGCTGACAATGGAATCTGACTATTACAAATTTGCAAAGTAGTGCCATAAGTGTCACATTTATGTTGACAAGATTCATGTGCCTCCAACGCTTCTCAATATTATTTCTTCCCAATGGCCTTTTCTATGTGGGGTATTAATATGATTGGAATGATTGAACCCAAGGCGTCGAATGGACAACCTTTCATCTTTGTGGCGATTGACTACTTCACCAAGTGGGTGGAAGAAGCTTCTTATGCTAATGTCACTAAGCAGGTGGTAGTGAGTTTTATCAAGAATAATATTATATGTCGGTATGGTGTGCCAAGTAGGATTATCACTGATAACAGCTCAAATTTTAATAACAAGATGATGACAAAACTTTGTGAAAAACTCAAGATTGTCTATCACAATTCATCTCCTTACAGGCCTAAGATGAATGTGGTTGTTGAAGCTGCTAATAAAAACATTAAGAAGATCATCCAGAAGATGGTTATTACCTATAAGGATTGGAATGAGATGCTCCCTTTTTCTTTGCATGGGTATCGTACATTTTTCTGCACTTCAACAGGGGCAACCTCGTTCTCTCTTGTGTATGGTATGGAAGCAGTGCTCCCATTGAGGTTGAGATTCCCTCTTTGTGTATAATAATGGAAACCGAGTTATCAGATGTTGAATCGGTCCATAATAGGTTTGACCAGTTAAATTTTGTCATACCCCAAATTTGTCCTACCTTTTCACTTTTATATGACTTACGCTTTGCATTTCATTTGCATCATTTTCATTAGGTCATTCACATATCATTCCTTCATTAAATAAAGTAGTGTAATCTAAAATTAGGTTTGGAAGTATGGTCATCCTGAATTTCCTTCTCATCAATCTACAATGCATGCAACTGGTTTTCTTTCCAAGAGCTTAGATAGGGATGTGATGAGTCTTATAAGGTCCATTATCTTTGAGGTTTCTTAGGATCAATCAAAAGAGATAATTAAAAGGATGTCACATATTTGAATGAGAGGACTACAAATTAGGGCTTTGAGCATATTCTCTAATCGATTATGGCTTAGGGCGTAAGGCATTATGGATTTGAATTTCAAATTTGAATTAGGGTTTTAATTAAGGAGAAAACACGGGATAATGTTTGTTTGTGATCCAAAGTTCTTATGGAAGCATACTTTGGCTCGAGTTCAAAAGAAAAGACAAGTTTGTTTGACTTTGGTCAAAGTCTACTTGGAAAATTGATTTCTTTTGACTAAATTTCATCTAATGTATACATGTTCGTGATCTTGATTTCAAGAGGCTAAGAGAGATTCGAATGAAGAGTTTACTCCCACTTAAAGATCATCAAGATTTATTCAATGACCATTTTGATTAAAAAGTCATTTAAGTGGAAAATTTAATTCTTTTTTTTACAAGTTCACTCATATTCATTACTTCATCAAGAGAAATCAAGAATTCAAGGCATCATGGAACTCATTCAAGAGATGTTGGAGAACTCAAACTCAAATTTCAATTAAAGGAAACTTTGTGTACTTTTGGTATCATGAGTTTAGAGAAGATTTTTTTTTTTGGAAAAATAATTGCAAAATATGAATGTTGATAGTTCAAATTTCATTACTCTTTTACAACCAATTACATCATTTAGAGTTTTCAAACAAAAGAAAACCAAACACAAAAAGTTTCTAACTCCAAAATCCATTGCTACAACCATGTTCTTGGTCTTGCTTCATCCTATGTTCAAAACAAGTTTACAATCTTGCTAAACCTATCCAAAACATTGTTTCAATAACTCCAATGAGTCTAAAAATTCTGCTTCCTAAAACATGTTATTGCCTTGTCCTTGTCCAACACAAATATTGCATCTTGCTGTCCAAAAACCAGTACATCAAGTCACTCCTGAACCTGCACAAAAATAGCCTAAAAACCTGTCAAAACAAACCAAACATAATAGTCAAAAACCTGTTGTATATCCTGCAAAACAGTCCAAAACTTGTTGTAACAAACCGTCCGACCTACTGCAACATTGCACAAAAATAGGCAAAGTAAAATGCATTCAAAATCTACAATACAGTTAACTACTTTTGTTCAAATTCATCAAAATTTCCCCCCAATATCCACTCTCATTCATTATAAAAACACACCAACTACAAGCAGAAAAGTAGGAACAATCTCATAATAAAGTCTATTCCTCAACTCTCTCTACACAACATATGAACTGTGCCTCCTCCTCAACCTTTCACCAAGTTTAACCCTCTGTTCAATGCTCTCTACATAAATACCTTAACTTAGTTTCACACTATAACCTCACTCTTCTCATAAAATGATTAACCTCCTTCACGTTAAAACTACCATAATGCCTCGAACATCATTCTTCGACACTGCATCATTATCAACAAAACTTAACTCACTGCAATACCTTCAACTTTTACAAACCCTGCAAAATCTCTCACTCTCCATAGACAACCTCTTCTAAAATACCAAACCTATACCCGAAAATCCCTCAAAATCCTACATATACTTCCTCTGGGTTTTACCCCACCCTTACTGCAAAAATCTCATCACAACCTCATAACCATCACCATAATACTCCAACTGATAACCTTAAACAATGGGTTCTCTCCTCTGTATTCAACCAAACTGAATCTGAAATACAAACTTGCAAGGATCGACTAAAAACAACAACAGCAATAATAACATAAAATTAGAAGAAGGACCGAATAAAATCAGAAGTGAAAAACATATACATGAGCATCCAAAGTTTGTTCTCTATCTTCATAATCACAGTCGGAAAAGCACCGTCCTTACCTCCGGTCAGTAAGCCTAAATCTCCCTCATTTCTCCACCTTTTACATCGAGCTTGTAATCATGTCGTGTGTCTTTGCTAGCTGAGTAATACCCCTAACGCTTCAAGCTTCGAAACCTTACCATTAGCGTTTACATTTTAGTACGAACTTCCTAGCTTTTTCTTAGTTTTGTTTGGATTTGAGGAGACGATGTAAGGAAGAATCGAGGGAAGGAACTTCAATGGTGGATTAACATAAAGGGGGGTTGAATCATAAGGCGGGGAGATTGGGAAAATCGGAGAAGGAGAAGAACAAAACATAATAATTGAACAGAGAGAGAGACCAAGATTGTTGTTGTTGGTCCCTGAGAACTGAAATCGAAATGATATTGCAGAAGAAAGTATGAGAAACGATCGTTTGTGAAGAAGATGGAAGCGTGGTGCAATAGGTTGTAGGAAATACAAAGTTTTTGTACGTTTTTTCTAGAGAAGAGGAGCTAATCCATTTGTTAGGGTTTCTTCAACCCAAATTTAATTTGTTTAGAGCTCGGTTCAGATCCAGGTATGCCTTGATTCGGTTCAGCCCATTTTTTTAGTTCTCGTTTATTTATTTATTTATTTATTTTAAAATTACTTAATCTATTACCACCCTGGGCCCTTGGTGCTTATTTTAATTCTCAAGCCCAATCTGAAACTTCTTACCATTATAATTTTGTTTGCACCCCCCATTTTTACTCTAGTTTTAGTTATACTTTCTTAGTTTATTTGTTTTGCTAATTAGTTCAGCTAGTAAAATTAATTAAATAGTCATGCCTTTTTTTAATTCGATAATTTTTATTAATTAGTTTAACTTTTAAATTAATATTAGTAACTTTGTGGATTTTAATTTTATTTTACTTTAGTTAACATTTTTAGTTATCTTGTTTAATCATATTTCTTTACTAGACAAAAATCCCAAAAACATTTTCTATGTATTTCTGTAGCTGTTGTTTTGTTCGATTGTCTTGGTTAATTCTTGATAATACGCCCCTGTTGTACCCCAAAATTTGCCCTCCCATATTCTTCAAGATTTGCAAAGAGCATACTTCAAAATCTCCCAAGGGTTGCACAGTTCAATTGCCTCCTAACAGTCAAAAATTAGGGTTTTGGTTCTGGCAAAGAAATTGAAGTTTCCAAGGGTCCAAACAAGTCCCACATGCCCATAAACATTTTCAAACATCCTTATGCCAAGTTTCAAGACTCACATCACAAAATTGCACAGTCAAAAACCCTAATTGCATTACAGTCAAAAACCCTAATTGCATCACAGTCAACTGTAGGGGTAAAATGGTCATTTGACAGTCAAAAGTCAAAAATTTTGGTCAACATCTTATTTTGAAGCCACAAACATCACTTGATCAATTCTTGATCATGATTCTCAAGGCATGGCTCAAAAAGTCTCAAGATGCAAAAGTTTCTATTTTTGGACAGTTGAAAAAGTCAACTGTAACTTGACCAAGGCATAACTTCCACATGGTTTATCAGAAAAATTCCATCCAAAGCTCATTTTGAAGAGAATGACATTTCCTACAACTCCTCTTCACACTTCAAGTCCAAGAGATGCTCTCACAAAAAGTTATCAATCTCAACATTGTAGGTCATTTTCAAAAGTCAACAAAAAGAAACTCTAAGTCAAAGACCATAACTTGAGATTGGTGAACCAAAATGACATGGGACCAAAGGCATTGGTTAGAGGACTTCAAGACCTTTCCAAAATGTCCAAGAACATGATCAAAGCTTAAAAATTGAGCAAGATATGCCTTGTGGAAGTTGGGAAAGTTTTGGGAATTTTGAAAAGTCAACTTTGCTTCAAATGCCTCAAAATTGCTAATGGGCTTCAATTTCTTCCAAGAATCATCACCCAAAAGCTATGCACGACCCATTGACCCAAAGGGGAGTTATTTTCTTATTTTTAATTTATTAATTGAATTTTTAAATCTATTAATTCACTTAATTAAAATTAAATATGAGAAAAATACAAAATCATGCTTTTAAACCTTTTTGATGCAGCAAATCCAACTAATGCAAGGTGGCAATTCGTTTCATGTCCAAAAAAGGCAAATCTTCCATAATTGGCATGTTCTTCATGATAAAAAGATTGAAAAAGATATAAGGAAAATCAAATTTTAAAAATCATTAAAGACAAGGCTTTGGGCTTGGATTGTTGACCAAAATCATTCCTCATATATGCACAAACCTAAACCTAATCACAAGAACAAGCAAGCTGCGCCTCAGACCAAGAAACAAACTTGCATTTTTCTTAAAAAAGCTCAAAACTGTTTTCATAGTTTCAGTGTGTTGCAAGGCCTAAAAACGATTCCAATAGCTTGCTTACACATCCAGGAATCTTTTCCAATCAAAGACAAGCCTCCATACGCGAAGAACTGGTAGAACCACGTTGTCCTGTTCCCAAATATTTTCATATTCGTGTTTCATGATTCATGCAGTGTTTTTGATTTCTAATGCTTGATTTATAGTAACTTAATCATTCTAAAGCTAACGGTGCCATCCAATTGAGTTTTTAAGGCCTGTATGAGAATCCACCATGGGAACTCTTTAGGGTTGCAGAAGTTTGAAATTAGGGACTCTTTCATATGAAAAAATTAGACAGCAAGACCAACACCATTGGACTCGTGACCTTCATACGAACACAATCATCACCTCGCGCCCAATTTATCATTACCCAGGAGCTAATCGCTATTTTTGTATATTGTGATTAGTGGGGGTTTAAAGCCCCCGCTACATGTTTGATATTTTTGCAGGAAGAAGAAGATGATGCTTGCGTGTCTGGACGTGACTGGAAGATTCAAATCTTCGCGCTTAATTTTTGTTTTACACCAATAGCATTTGTTCTCTCTCATATTGATCATTGCCCACTAAATGTACAAAAAAACGCGCTAGTTCAAGTGGTGGCATACGTGTACTACAGGTACTGGGACCTGGGTTCGATTCCCAGGTCCCCTTGCATATTTCATAATTTTTTCTTTAACCCATTCCTATGCAGCGTGCCCTTCAGGGATCTACCATGCACTCAATGCCTTGGCTTGCCAAATGTCTCAAGAGATGAATCTAAAGGTCAAGATTTGCAGCTCATCATGCACGCTCAGTCAACCACCAATACACAATCCCAGAAAAGTCAAACAGGCCTTGATTCAAATGGGCCAAACTGCTTGCATATACCTCCTACTTGGGTCAGAAAACCCCCCATGTTTGCATTTCTTGCTTTTTTTTTTCTTTTCTTTTATTTATTCTTTTTAATTAATTGTTTTTCCTTTAATTCCACAAAAATAATTTTAAAATACAAAAAATCAGAAAAGTCAAAAATAAAAATATATTTATTTATTATTTAATGCATTAATGTTTTTTGTTGTAAATAAATTTGATAATTAATTTAGTTTTAAATTAGGGTTTTAACTTTAACATTTTTTCTTAAATAAATTAAAACACATAAAAATTAGGTCTTGTAGCATTTTACTTTTTTCTTCCAAATAATTAAATTACCTCATCATCATTTTTATTAATTCTTAATTAATTTGTAAATAAGCTTGTCATTAAATAATTAGGTTAAATTAGGTCAAACTTAAACATTTTCTTTAATAAATTAAAACAATTTAGAACTAGGGTTTTATTTAACTTTTAATTCCAATTAATTTTCTTTATTTTCATTAAATACCAAAAAAACATAAAAATAAGTTCTTTTTCTCATTTAATAATTAAATCAATTTTCAATTCCAATTTAATTCCTTTAAAGGGTCCAACGCCCTCGCACCTTCGAATATATTTTCTTTTCGCGCATTTATTTTATTTATTTTATGAATGTAATGTATTTACCCCAAAGCCTTGTAATAGATAAATAGGACATTTATTTTCCGCATTTTTATTTATTCAAATCGGGTCTTGGTTTAATTTGGCGATGTAGACCCGCGCCTTGTAATAGCGTAGGACCTTTATTTTCCGCATTTTAATTCCCGCACCTTTTAACTGTTAATAATCACATGAAAGAATGTATGCCCAAATAAAAATAAGCATAGATCACCCAATACATGTCAAACAAATATAAACTGAAAATGACACACAATTCACACACCACTCTTAGGGTACGCCTCACTGTTGCCTTGCCCCTCGAAACGTGGTCGTCGAGTAGAGGACGTTTTAGTAAGTCCTCATGTCCATGAACATGGCATGGGGGTAGCTTCTAAGGTGTCCTACTATTGCTCTGGTGACCACACTGTCCCTAATCCTCGAATTGACCCGAACACCTCCAACGGTGGTGCTACATATCTCTCAATGGTGGGATGGCACTACTTTAAGGACATTTACACAGACTAATTCCTTAGGGTAGGTAGACGACTCGTAGATACTTGCTCTAATTCAAAACAAATCAAAAAATTCTTTTCACACCGACACTTTGCAAAAAGCTTTCAAAAATGACTTTTCAAACACTCTTGAGGACTGATACAAGAGTCGAACTGAAATTTTAAACGGAACTTTTTTCAAACCCACTCACCTTGAAAAGCAAACAAACATTTTGAAAACACAAATGAGCAAGTATCTAAGAGCCCATGGATAACCATGGATAGAAAGGGTGCTAACACCTTCCCTTTCTATAAATCTACCTCCCGAACCGAGAAACTAATCTCATAAGGAATTTTTCTGTGCTTTTGTCCTTTCCATGTTGGAGAAAATAAAAGATGGTGGCGACTCTTGCTTCCGCGACATTTCGCGAACCAGCGTTAAACAGTCAGTTCCAGATCCACCGATCACAGAACTGGCGACTCTGCTGGGGATTAAAAGTGAGGTGTACCTTAGGACTAAGATCACTTGTGTTTTCAATTACTGTGTTTGTTTGATTTAATATTGTGGGCTGCATCAGAGTTACATAGATCCTAACCCGGATTTGGGGATACCCTGTTAGGTAGCATAAGCTGTGAGGGACCTGTCCGGCGTAGACCGACATGGGTGAAGCAGTGGCTACGTTAGTGTGGCACCTTGGTCTGTACCGATATCCCTTGTGTCGCAACGAGGAGAATATGGGTCTTCTGAGGAGTCATTAAGCACCAACCGACCTTAGAACCTTAAATGACCCAACTCGGCCAATAGAACAGTAGCAGTATGCTACGCCCATTGAGGCTAAACTCTCGTGATGGTTCTGGCCGCAAGAAAAGATTGTGATGCTGGAGTTATGACCGATTGAGGGTAGTCAATGATATTGGGATCCTCTAAGAACCCGATTACTTTTGATAGGACAGGTGTGAACCAACAAACTGAAAGAGGGTAATACC